AACACGAAATTTTCATTAGAAAAAAGAAAAATTCTGATTTGAAAAAGAATAAAAAGTGAGATGAAAAGCAATATACACGATTAGGCTAATAATTCAAGATAAATAAAATTTTTCTTCTTTTAATTAAACATAAAGAATGCTTAAGTCTTACATTAGACAAGATTAAAAATTTTGTTTTTAAATGAAATAATTTTATGCCTATATACGCTAACAAAATATCTAAAAAAAACTCTCTACAAAGTTTATTAATTTATAATTATATTTATAACAGATTCTTAACAACGTAAGTTAAATAAAAAATCAAAATAAAAATATTTTCAACCGATTGAATCTTCGTTATGTTATACTCTAGCATTTGAAGGAGTAATATTTAATTCTAGACATGTGCTATATAATTATAATACCGAACATCCTAATATAATACACATACATATTATAGTATGCTGAATATCAGCGTATATATTTTATTACATAATAGATATTTTAATTATTAAAATAATCTTATTATAAATATTATATAAAAGTGTGTTCTTATTTGTCATTTAATATAATTATATTATAAACACTTTCCAAAAAAAATTGCAAAAAAAAAAACTAACTTTACTAAAAAAACTACATCCATGCACAAAGTCATACACATAAAAAAAAACATAAAACATAATATACAATTCATTATAAATGAATATACTTATATACCAATTTAAGATCTTTGAAATACAAAACAATAGAACTAAAGAAAATCATTTTATATACAAATTTCAAAACGCGTGCACCATTGCTATATGGGAAAATTTTAAAATGTTGTTTAACATTTTTGTATATTAAAAAAAATGGAATTTATGTGTTATCTTATAAATCTCTTTATAATTTTTACCAATAAATTTTTAATAACTTTATAATTTTTAATAATAACTACTTTATTTTTAAAAAATATATATATATTTTACAATACATATATTGAAAAAAAATGTGAAAAAAAAATAAACTAGAATAAAATTATTTGTTGAGATTTTTAATAAAATTAAATAAAATGTTTTTTCAATAAACATGAAAAAAGTTGGAATTTTACGTATTTAACCTAATTTTAATTATCTTGTTTTAATATTATTATTCGATTTTGAAAAAAAAAAATTAAATGAAAAAAAAAACAATGTTATTTTTATTACAATCAAAAAATAATGATTGTGAAACTAAACAATAGAATTAAAAAGAAAATCCAAAAAATAAAAAATAAACTTAATTAGTTCTAGATATTGTTTTAAAATATCCGCAAATGTTAAAAATTTTTAAACATACATATTAAAAAAAATAAAATAACAAGAAAAAAAAAAACATGTTTTTTGATGTAGTTTCTAAAAATTAAAAATAATAAAACCAAAAAAAACAAAATAATATTAAAAAAAAATTAGGCTTTTCCAAGACTGTGCGTTTCTATAATATTATATTGAAAACTGTATATAACTGTAATAAAATATAATCTATAATACTTCAATTTCTTACTTTTTTTTATTTCTTAAAAAAAATCCTTTTTAATTATTTGATATCAATACTATATAAATTACATATTTATATATTATTAAAGTAATTCTTATAATTTTTATCTGAAAACGATTAACTTAAATAGTATTAACAATCAAAACCTTTAATAAAATATGAAAACAAAATTGTATTCCGTATAATTATAAGAGAGTAAGAATTATTCATTATTATTAAAAAATTCATGATTACGTTTATGACAGAGCTATAAAATGTATTTAAAACTTGTAGGTATAATTTATTTATACAACTTAAAAAATGTAGCTAAAACTTATTTTAGTTATGTAGAATAAATTTTAGTTAAACATTATGATCTACATATTTTTTATTATTTTATGTACTTAATCGTTTTCAGAAATTATATCATAACTTCTTGTTTATCTATAAAACCACAATACAATTTAGATTAAATATATTTTTTTTTTTAAATTTCTAAAAACACACCTATCAATAAATTCAATCAAATTTTATTTAATATTTCATTTTCATTTCTATTTTTTATTTTGTTTTATCCTATGCTATATTTTGATCTACTTATACCTTACATAAATTTTTTGAAAATTTTTCTCAAATCTAAAGATATACTACATATTATTATAAGTATGTATTTTAAATATGATTAAACAATATAAATATAGTAATATATCAGTACAGAAATTACTAAAAAAAAAAAAATTTAAAAAAAAGATATATTAAAATTAAACAGATAATAAAAAATCAAATAAAAAAAGATAATGAAACTTTAATAATTTTAATAATATTATTGAAACATATTGTATAATTAAATATCAATGACAGACTTTTTCTACCAATTTAAAAAAAAATAAAAAAAATAAAAAAAAATATTAAGAAATGAAGTGTTTTCCTTTTAACTATACATACAATTATACATAAATTATAATTATGTAGTAAAAATTTTTAATAAAATATAAATTTTAAATTAATTTCAAATTTTTCTACTCTCTATTATATTTTATATATATTATTATCGATGCATTATGCAGCATATACTTATTACTATATATTTTGTAAGTATACCAAGTATATATTTTTTAAGACATTTACATTTTGTTAATTATAATATTAAGCAGAGAATTTAAAATAATATGAAAATTTTTATGCTTAACCAATTTGTATTGTATACCTATTTAATTTTCATATATTATTAAAACAATAAATGAAATAAGTATTGAAATTAAAGTAAATATTGTAATCCATATTTATAAAATATCATTAATTTATAAACTTTCTGCTTAATATATTTATAATAATAATCTTAAGTATAAAAATAAATCTATCGAATTTCAATTTGTATTTTTACATAACAACTTTTTCTTTTATTTTGTAATTGTAAGTATATGAATTGAATTTTTTAAATTAAATTATAATAATGTTATATTGTTATCTAATACGTTATAACAAAATTATAATTTTTACAATTTTTTATATAGAAATACTAGTTTTTATTATAAGTAATAAAACATTTAAGTATTGAAAAATTATACTGTTTTATATCAATTAAAAAATACATATTTCAAATTTTAAATTGTTTTTTTAAGTATTAAGTAATAAGTATATTTATAACTGAGAATGAAACTAATTATTAAAAATTTTGTTAAAATAAAAACAAAAATAAAATGGTTTAATAAATAAAATGTGGTTTTTAATTAATAAAATTTGTATTTTTATTTTAATCTTAGTTTCATATAGTTCTAGTTCTACTTTAATTTCTGTTTTCGATAATCTTTCCAATGTAAAATTTCAGTTTGCAACATACCTACATACATACTTAATCTTAACTCTGCATTTTGAAAGTTTGGGTGTAATCGGAAAGTAATCAAAAATTTGCATTAATGCAGCGTCGGTGCAAAAAAAAAGAGTAATTAATTATTAGTTAATGAGTTAAAAATAAATTACTTACTCCTCAGCTTTCATTTAAAAGCTTTGCATCAATACAAATTCAAAAAAAAAAAAAAATTGATGCACAGCTGATTTAATATGATGCGTATATGATGTGTGTTTTTGTCATTTTTGGAACCCAAACTTTAAAGTACAATATCGTATTGACGCATTTTCGTATATGATTTTTTGCACTACGATGCTTCAGCGATTACTTGATTATACCCTTTTATTTGCATTTATAAAGCACATTTCTGAAGAAAATTTGTCTGTTTCGGGTATACCTAAACCTGCATTTGGATTTTTGGAAACATTGTTCTTCCTCCTATGATAATTCACATTGTGATTATACGAATCTCTTCCATAAATTTACAGCGAGATTTATCTCTTCCTTGTAATAAATATTATTTAGATATATAAAATTTTATTTTTTAAATATTTCTTTGCTATCACCAAATTAATTGAAAATATAATCTTTTATTAAAATTTATACAGCTGCTTAGTTTTTCTTTATGAGAACTAGACAATCCAATTTACAAGTTACAAAATTGCAAATAACGGATAAATTCATGTTCCGCAGCTTGTTTCTTCTTGATTGACGTTCATTTCATTTATTTAATGCCGTAACACAACAGCAGTCGCTACACGAAAAACAATGCGACAATAGTTATGTTTACACGATGACTCTTGAAAACAGGTGCAATAGTATTTTTACTATCAGATCAAACTTCAGATTAAATCTAAACCTTGCAATAATCAGATTTCTTTATTAAACAACATCAGATTTTAAAAAATAATATGGGGTAAACTAAACTTTTTACAAAAATCTCTCGTAATTTTGTTTTATTTTAAAACTTCCTATTGTCAATATGTAAAAAGTTCCATAGATTGTAAAAATTTAAAACGGTTAAAATGTCAAAAATTTGATATACTGCCATAAAATGAATCTGATACATAAATGCTCATTTGTTTTACGTGTGATTGAAATTTTTTTCTCTTAAATAATGTTTACGAAAAAGGGTTAAAGGAAAACAAACACGAATACAAAAACAGATTACTCGTTCTTTTTTAAAATCTTGATTCAATTTCATAAAAACAACGCAAAGAACACAAAGAGCATTATCTTAAAAAAAGTTTTACATATTTTTTTGTGTTAGTAAAATAATTACTTTTGTCAAAAATATTTTTACTGAAAATATCCTCTCCGAATGTTAATAATCGATTGTAGCAAGACTCGGCATTAAGCAATTATAAGCATAAGTAATGTAAATCATATTCAACGCTGTTAAGCTAATAAGCAAAATTTATACCTTAGTTACAAATATGAATGTGCGTTACGCACATATCTAATTTGAATGTTAAGAGTTAATTATTTCAGTATTAAATAAATACTCAACCCTGAAAAATGAACAAATTTTTTCATAATTTTAAACTGTCAAACAAAAAGCTACACAGCAACAAAAATGATCATATTATTTGCTTTTTACTGTTTTTTTTTTTGTTCATTTTTTATTTGTCATATTTCAGTTCAAATTTTAAGTGAGTAGTTGTCAAAATATGTAAAGAAAATTTTGGGAATTAAATTTTTATTCCCATGATCCCATTTATTATTTTTTTTTGAATATAAAAATTTCATTTAATGAAAATTGTTTAATTTGTGTAGTTAGAAATTGTGTTTTAATGTATATTTTCTATAAAAGATGGAAGATATTTTATTATTAATAGTTAATAGTCAAGTAGAGCATAAAGAATCATTTGCGAAGTGGTTAGAAAAATTTTTTATGGTACGTATTGTTTACAATATCAAAATAAAATTTTGATTAAATTAAAAGAAAAAAAAAAGTGTTTTAGAAAATATTTTAGAACCAAATAAAAAATGAGTTGTCGATAAAAATCATATCTATAAAAATTGGCGGAAAACAAAAAAAAAAGCAAAACAATTTGACGTCAAGTTAGAAAACATATGATCGTAGTGGTAAGAAAAAAGTGGAATATTCGACTCTCGTTAATGAATGTCATTTTGAAGTTTGTAATGATAATGCAGTTCACAGTTTTTTTGTTTTTGTTGTTTTTTGTTTAAAAAACACATTTCAATTGTTTATTTTGAAATCGAGAAATTTTGGTGGAAAATGATCAAACTCAGTTTTTTAAATTATTTGAATTCTATACTTTAGATTACCGATATTTTAGTTTAGTTAAGTGGAAGTAAACGATATGCAATTAAATACTTGAGTTCAGTTGTTATAAAATTCAATGCTTATTTTGAAGATTTGAATATTTCCGTATTACATTCATGCTTGCATTTTGAAGGCCTTCATCCGATTTTAAGATAAAAGAATGCTGAAAGTTTTTTGAATTAAGTATTGTAGTAAATTAAGGTTTTGAAACAACGCAGCAGAAGGTTTTATTTCACTTCATGCCATGCAAACTTATTTACAATAACCGTTTCAATCAATTTGCAATATTTCACTATATTCCAAGCAGGGCCAAGAAAACTTTAAGTTCAAATTTCTGTTTTAACAAAAATTTTAACATAGTTTGTAGATTATAGATGTAAGCTGCTTTACATTCGATTTTTCTATAATTCAAGATATAAAATGTGTGCTAGTTATATAGGATACAAGAAGTTTGCTTAATTTTAATTATCTGAATAGGTAATCAAATTTACATAAAATTCTCTACATACTTCCATTCCTAGTTTAATTTCATACAACTGTGTGTTATTTAATAACAATATCAATTTCCTTTCATTATTACCTATTAGTTCAATATTTCAAAATATTATTGGAATTAGATCATCAGATAGGTACCTACTTAAGTTACGAGCAATATTTTGTTTGAAAGTGATATAAAAAAATAGAAACGTCTCTAATAGATAAAAATTAAATCAATTTTCGTTATCAAATTTAATATGATTGAATGACCTCTAATTAAATTATTGCAAAAACAACTCTCGGAATTTTAAAATTTAAAAAAGAAAAATTCATCTCAATTAATGCGTAGGTTATCGTTATTCAATTAAAAGTTTTACAAAGTTTAAGCTTTTTTTTTCCTCTTTGTATCTAAATTGTTCAGAATCAAAGTGAATTAAAAGGACGAAGTATAAATTAAAAAATAAAGTAAAAACATAGAATAAAAATAAAAATTAACAATTCAGAAAGTCTATCATTATAAAATTGTTTTTCCTTTACAATTTTTTTCTTATCGTTTTTAGAGCACAAAGGTATTTTTATTTTTTATACATATATTCTTGTAAGAGCTTAGATATATAAACATTAATCACTTCAATGATAGAAATTGAAATTCCCACGAGAACATCCTCTTTTACTGATTCGGGTCTAATTTTCTTTTTTTCTCGTTATTTATCGATAAATTAGATTTCATTTATACAAAATGTATATGTAGATGAAAAAAGAAAAACTGAAAATAACTAAAAATTATCTACATAAGTACACATAACATATTTGTGGATGTATACTGGGGCTAAAAAATTTTCTTTAAGGGTAAAAATGCTGCTTTTTGATTTAAAATAACATCTTAAATGTTTGTTGAATTTTTTTGAAAGATACGGAGTTTAATGGGTATTAAGTTTTTGGTTTTTGTTTTCAATTTCAATTTTTTAGTATTTGAATATTAAAAATGGAAATATCAGAGCTTAATGAAGATTTAACACTCTAATTCTAAACACAAATAGGATCCCTTAAAGTTTTTTATCTAAATATAGTTATTATCTAAATATAGTTTTATCTAAATAATAGTTTCTAAATTATTTATGTATTTAAATATATAATTAATAGCGCTTTGCTAATATACCAATATGTATTTGTAAAAATGAAAATGAGGCCCTATTGACAAGTATTTTATTGTAAATTATTTGATAAATTTTTCTAAAAATTTTATTTTTTTTATTGTTTTAGTTTCGTGTCGTTTTATTGGCATAATATATAATAAAGCAAACGGATTTATGAGAATTTGGAAGAAAAAATTAATTCTTATGAATGGAACAGCATTTTATTGAAATTGAATCAAAGTTCAAGCGAATAAATAATTTTTCAACACAAATTTAGATCTTGGTCATAAGCCCAAACAGATTTCTGTTATATCTTTCGTTATAATTTAATAAAAAATTTGATTTTGTACTAGAATTGATATTAGAATTAAAATAATTAAATGTATAAATAGAACATGTATATACACTTATACAAATCACTTGAAGATTTGTTACTTAGGTTTAAATTAGATTTGCTTCAAAATCAATTATTTTCATTGAGAAACTGAGATTATTTTAACTATAAATTCATAGCTTAATACAAATTTAACATAGCTTTCGTATCAAATATTAAGAATCCTATTATTACTATTATTCTTATTAAAAATTGATTTGTATTCATTACTTTTATTTATCAGTTCCTATTTTAGTGGAATATTAGCTAATATAAACTATGTTATATATTATACAATCTTAGTATATATATATATAAAAAAATTTATATATAAAGGCACATAAATGGTTTTTGTAATCAATCAACCAATATATTTTTCATCTTATTTCTTACTAAAAATAAAAATAATAAAAAAAAATTCCTTTCCAATATCACAAATAAAAAGTTTTCAAAAAAAGTTTTCTTATATTAAGATTGATATGACAGGGAAAAAAAGGATAAAAATTAAATCCAGCATATTTTGAAATTATAACAAAAGAAAATATAATGAAGATAAAAAAAAAATGAAAACTTTTCAATAAAATTAAGATTTAAATTGGTAAGAATTATAGATTCTTAGAAATTCATTAAAAATTTATCCTATACATATTTATACAAACACATAATATGATTTAGGTACACAAATATAATGTATGTCTAATGTAAAATGTATTTTTCAATGATCTAAAATTTTTAATACTTTTAATACTTTGCTCTTTTATAAAAGTTTGATCTTCATTCTTCAGTTACAAAAAAAAAAAGTTGAAAAAATTAAAAGAATAATTCAATAATTTTTAATATTTAGTACTTTAAGTAGATTATTTAATATTTTTAATTGCCTACAGAATTGAATTAAACATATCTTATCTAATAATTATTGATAATTCTTTTTTAATTAAAATACCTTTAAATGAAATTGAAATAAAATTAAAGTTTTGGGATTAGATTTCAAATTATAGATTTAAAAATTGCATTTTATAAAAGAATTTTTTCAATAGATTGTAATTCAGAAATTGTTTCTGCAATTTGTATATAGGATTGGCATAATGTGAATTTGAGGTTTTGTGATTTAATTTTTATTTATAGAAATAATTAGAGCTTAAGCACAATTGTTTATTTTTTTTTTAAATAATTCTTAATAATTGAATATTGAAATGGTAAAATTTCTTACAATATGCACTGGAATTGAAGTTCATTTATTTATTTTATCAAGTATTTACAAATTTCGAATATTTTAAAGGTATATATTGTATAAATTTTGTTCAGGAATTGTTATTTAGTTTCTTAGAAAAATTTGAAATTCTAGTTTTAATATTAAAATCTTACCATTTTTTTTTTTAACATTTCTATACAATTTTGCACGTAGAAATACGTAATCCTGTCTAAAGTAATTAAAATTTGGGAAAAAAATGTTTTTTTAACAAGATTTTTATATTTTCACATTAAAATAATTTTAAACATTTTTGTTTTTTAGCAAATTAAGGTACAAATATATATGTAAATTGCTCGCGCTTAAGATTATTTGATTACTCATTGGACTTGTATATAAATTAATTATTTTGTTTAATTATCTTGGAAGACTTCTTTTTAACTGGTCATAAGTTAAATTATATAAGGATTTTAATTCTTTTGTTTTTATACTTAAATTTGAATTACGTAGAAGCAACTCTTAAAAGAATAATTAAAGAAAATTTATTTAAGCAATTAAAAATAAATTTTGTTTTTCGTTTTTTTTTTTTACAATTCTTGTCTTCATTTCTGGTTGAAAATATTTCTAATTATTTTTATTTCCATTCTCTTTCATTTTATTTTTTCCATTTTATTATCTTTATTTTTTTTTTCTTTGTCGTCCTTTCATCATAAAAATAATTTAACATTCGTTGTGTTTATCCTTTTCATTTTTCTCTTAACATTTTTGTTACGATTTGGTAGATTTATTTTTTATTTGAATTTTTTTTTTTGTACAGACTAAAATAGAAATATTAGTAACATTTAGTATAAAATACCTTTACGGATAGTATTTGATACTTATAAAGAAACATTTATAATGCATAGGCTTTTTTTGTTTTTCTTAAATTTCATTTTTTATATTTCATACAATTGAAATATAACAATAGCATATGAAAATTGTATCTCAAATTGTTATATGAGTTACTTTAAATATTGTATATTGTGTTCTTTCAATTGCTGAGCAATATTAATGTAGTTATTTACGGTCTTTTCGCATATATCCGGTTAGGCTTTGAAAATATATGGAAGATTTTAAAATTAAGCCAAGCGCCTTCTGTTTTTTTTTTTGTTTTTACAAATAGTTGTAGGAAAATTAAGAGGGAAGTTAAGTTAAGTGTGATTTTTGAACTTACTTTTAATGAATAATAAATTGTTGAATCGAAACAATAAATAATTAAAAACTGTTTATTTTTTACACTAACTATTGACGTAGTTGTTGCACATCGAGAATATCCTTGAGTTTTAGGTTAATCAACTTTATTTTTAATACCTTGATTTTCCTATATATATATATATTTAATATTGCAGACGTGCTGAAAAATTTTAAAATCTCTTTTACCTACATACTTATA